GAATATGGCATATTTCTCCTGTTACTTAGATCTCCTTTGATTCTTTTAATCAGTATTTTATAGTTTTCATATCAATCATTTTATAAGTAATCAATATTTTATAGTATTTTAAAAGCCTGTATATATTTTGTTCAAATTATACCTGAGTGTTTTCTTTCTTTTGTTTTTTGATGCCATTGCAGACTACTTTTTAAAATTTTGATTTCCAATTATTCAATGCTAGAATATAAAAATACAAGTTTTGGGGATATGCTTAGTTTGTATCTTGTGACCTTGCTAAAGCACATTTATTATAGTAGATTTTTTTGTTGTTTCTTTAGGATTTCATATGTAGATAATTATGCCATCTGCACACAACTTTTTTTCTCCCCCTTTCCAATCTCTATGCTTTTTATTGTTTTAATGCACTAGCTAGGATTTCCAGTTCAATGTTGACTAGGGGTAGTGAGAGAGAACTCCTTGCTTTTTTCTTGACTTTAGAGGGAAACCATTAAATCTTTCACAATACAGTATGATATTAGCTGTAGGCTAATTGTAGGTACAGGCTGTTGAAACCCTTATTGCATTCAGAAAGTTTCTATGTATTCCTAGTTTGCTGAGTCAAGTGCTTTCTCCGTATATTTTGACATAATTCTATGATTTTTTTTCCCCCTTAGTCTGTTAATATGGTGATTTATATCGCTTGAATTCAGAATGTGGAATCAACCTTGCATTCCCAGGACAAGCCTGGTACACCTGTTTGTGATGTATTATTCTTTAATATATTTCTGGATTTGGCTTGATAATGTTGTGTGAGGATTATTCATCTTCCCATGAGGAATATTGGTCTATAATTTTCCATTATATATGTATATATATATATTTTTAAATTTATTTGACAGAGATCACGAGTAGGCAGAGAGACAGGCAGAGAGAGAGGGGGCAGCAGGCTCCCCGCTGAGCAGAGAGCCCCATTTGGGGCTCGATCCTGGGACCCTGAGATCATGACCCGAGCTGAAGGCAGAGGCTTTAACCCACTGAGCCACCCAGGCTCCCTGCCCCCATTATATTTTTATATGGTTTTGGTATCACAGTAATGCTGGCCTTAGGAAATTAGTTAGGAAGTGGTCCCTTATTTTCTATTTCCTGGAAGAGATTATGTAAAATTGTGTTATTTCTTCCTTAAATGTTTGATGGAAATCACCAATAAAGCCAGTGAGCACGAGAGTTTTTTGTTTTTTTTTTTTTAAGGTTTTAAACTAGGAATTAAATTTCTTTAGCACATATGAGACTTGTCCGTCTTTCTGTTTCTTCTTGAGTGAAGTGTGCCAGTTTCGGTCTTTTGAGGAAATAGTCTATTTTATTATAGTCTATTTCTTATGTAAGCTACAGAATTTGTGAGCAGAGAATTGTTCATAGTTTTCTCTTGTAATCTTTTGCATTTAATTCTGAGTGACTGTGGAGTCTGTAGTGATGTTCCCTCTATCATTCTTGCTCTAGGTAATTTGTATCTTCTCTCCCCCCCTAATTATTTTTGTTTGGAGGTTTATAGATTTTATTGATTTTTTTTTTTTTTAAAGAAGCAGCATTTGGTTTCATGGATTTCTTCTATAGTTTAAAAAACTTTTTTTTTAATGCTTTCTTTGGTTTTAATTTTCTCTTTTTTTGGAAATGGATTTGAGACTTTTTTCTTTTTAGTGTAACGTTTATTTTTATGTGTTCAGGTTTCTATATGATACTTTCAAGGAATATCATGCTCCTTCTGCCTAAAGAACTTACTTTAAATTCCTATGGTTAATGTCTTCTGACAATAAATTCTTTCAACATTTCTTTGCCTGACAAGTCTTTATTTTCCCTTTTTTAAAAAAAAAGATTTTATTTATTTATTTATTGACAGAGATCACAAGTAGGCAGAGAGGCAGGCAGAGAGAGAGGAAGGGAAGCAGGCTCCTTGCCGAGCAGAGAGCCTGATGTGCGGCTCGATCCCAGAACTCTGGAATCATGACCTTAGCCAAAGGCAGAGGCTTTAACCCATTGCGCCACCCAGGTGCCCCTTCCCTTTATTTTTTGAAACATAATTTCATTGCCCATGGGATCTTGGGTTGACAGTTTTATTCTGTCAGTCCTTCATAGAGATTTTACTCCAAAGTCATCTAGCTTCCATGGTTTCTGAAAGATGATCTTCTGTAACTTTTATCATTGTTCTATACATATAATATATCATTTTCTCTGGCTGCTTTCATAGTTTTCTTTGGGTTTTAGCACTTTGACTATGATGAGTCTAGGTGTGTGTGGATTTGGTGTTTGTTCTACAAAGGCTTCTTTGAGGTTCATGTGTCTGTGATTTGGTAACTTTCATTAATTTTAGAAAGTTCATGGCCATTATACCTTCAAATATTTCCTCTGTTCTGTTTGCTCTTTCTTTTGGGACACCAATTTCACATGTTAGATCAATTTAGCTCTTGGATGCTCTGTTTTTTTTTTTTTTTTTTTTCTTTCTTCCCTTCTCCAACTCTTTTTTGTTTGTTTGGATATTTTTTATTGACTTATTTCAAGTTTACTAATTTTTTCCTTAGTTTTTTCAAGTGTATCCCTTAGCCCATCAAAGAAATTCTTCATCTCTGATGCCATGTTTTCTATTTCCAGCATTTTCATATGACTCTTATACTTTGTATCTTTCTGCCTCAGTACCCCATCTGTTCATGTTTGTTGTCACCCTTTTTCTGTGAATCTTTTACCTTAATAATTAGTCATTTTCAAGTCTGCCTGATGACTCCAGTAAGTCCATCAATCTTGTTATCTCTGAATCTAATTACATTAATTATTTTATCTCTTGGCGATGGGTTTTTATTCCTTGCTATTTTCCCCTGAGTCTCGAGGTTTTGAATTATATTTATGCCTTAAAGTGGGCATGCCTTTTCTGTCAGACTGTTAGTGTTGGAAATTAAGTCATCATCAGGTCAGAAGTTCAGATAGGTTTGGATTTTGTTGTTGCCATCATTATCTTTAGTGCATCACAGTCTTCAGATTCCTCCCAATTCCTCCAGTAGGCTACTGCTGTATTGTATTTAGGAAGAATGCAGGAGTATCATAAGTTTTTTCAGTGTTTTGCTACCCCTTCAGCCATTTCTATCTACTTACTCCATAGGGCATCTCTCCGTATGCTTTTGCTGCCCCGCCCGCCCCCCCCCACTCTGCCCCCGGGAGTAAACGATTGATGCTTATTTCTTGATTCTAGGTTTTTGGCAGGGGCAAGGGTGTTTTGTTAAGTTTTCCTGCCCTTCATCGTTGATAGGACCTGTTGATCTGGGCCTTATGGATGAGGTTTGCTCAGAGTTCTTGGGCCCTTCTTCGCATAGAAGTAAATCTGCCTTGTATCTTTGATAGTTTTGGAACAGAAATTTCCATCCCTCCCCTAGTTATGAAAGGCCTTTGATTTGAGCAAAGGTTGTTGGCTGAAGATGGTTTCCTGTCCCTCTCTCATGGGCAGAGGTTTTTTTCCCTTTAACCTTTCCCTTAGCTGTAGTAGATGCCTTTGCCCTGGGGATGACAGAATTTCCTTCTCCCTGTGGCTTATCGCTTTGACATTTTTAGGAGAGATGGTCTGGGGAATTGGGCCTGTACTCCAGCAGCCACTTGTTAACGCTTTTACACCTACACATGTGTACCCCTGAAGAGTTGTTTGTTCTTATGCCTTGCTCCCAATCTTCTTCATAAGTGACCAGTAGAGGCCTGCAGAAAAGTGCTTGTGGGTGAATGTGGGCTTTCCTTGAGTCTGGGCCCCTAGCTATTCCAAACTGTATGTTAGCCCACACTTGGCCTTTTACTATTTGTTAAAATTTTAACTAATTTCCTCTTACCTGCTTGTAGGGTGGCCCCTCTTTCTCCTCTTCTGCTCTGCCAATGGTGAAACAGTGTATTTCGTTTCTCTTTGGAGGGGCTTGCTGCTCTTTGGAGTTCACATTGTTTGCCTTATATCCTCAACTCTCTGATGGGCTCAAGAAAAGTTACGATTTTGTAGATTATTTAGCCTTTTGCCATTTTTAGGTTGGGAGTGACATCATTTACAGCTTTGAAAATCTTAAGCAGAGTTAATTTAAAACGTTTTAAATTTTCCTTTATGAAGATAATGGAAGTGAAAATTTTTATCACGATTTATTTTTAAAGAGTAAATAATACCTTTTTCTAGGCATCTTTTTGCTCATTTTTTGGGTTTTGTTTTTAAGATAAAAATTGGCCTTTATTTGCACAGCCTTATTTGTTAGCCTTCTAATCTTTCACAATGTTTTTAAAGCCAGCTAATATCCAGACTGTTGAACAGATTTAAACAATTAGTGAGAGCACTCATCCAGTGTTTTCCCCTCTGTTTGGATTCTTAAGAGCACTCCAATTGAGAGTTGTCTCAAAGATTTGAAGTTCATAGGTTTTGGCTATACTGTGTAAGTCAAATCAGCTCAGTCCAATTCTGAAGCTAAACCTTTGAAAAATAATACTTTAAATATTTTAGGGCATATGATTGAAAATACATTATAAGTGGGAGATAAAAATTTTACAATTATAACTTAAAGAGCTGTCTCTTTTCGCATGTATTAATTGGCTCTTAAATTACCATGTATGTCAGAGGGCAGAACTAGTTACAGCACTCTTGTGATGTGCCCTGTAGGATGTTATTCAATAATCAGAAAATTAAAAATTTTTTTTTTTTGAAGATTTTATTCATCCATTTGGCAGACAGAGATCACAAGTAGGCAGAGAGGCAGGCAGAGAGAGAGAGGGAAGCAGGCTCCCTGCTGAGCAGAGAGCCCGACTCGGGGCTCGATCCCAGGACCCTGAGACCATGACCTGAGCCGAAGGCAGATTCTTTAACCCACTGAGCCACCCAGGTGCCCCAGAAAATTAAATTTTTATTCTTTATTCTCATTTTATGAAATTTTTGGATACAAAATTGTATATAGATTGTTGTAATTACTGTGTTTGAGACCATCAGGCAACCAAATTTTTCTTATCTGCTTTCTCTGCAGAAAACTTCATCAGCAGTTTGAAATGTACAAGGAGCAGGTGAAGAAGATGGGAGAAGAATCACAACAGCAGCAAGAACAGAAGGGTGATGCCCCAACCTGTGGTATTTGCCACAAAACAAAATTTGCTGATGGATGTGGCCATAACTGTTCATATTGCCAAACAAAGTTCTGTGCTCGTTGTGGAGGTCGAGTGTCATTACGCTCAAACAAGGTACAGAATGAAAATTACACATTATTCTATTATAGCTAAGCTTATAATACAGTTAAGCTAATTGTGAATAAAATAAAGCAGACAATTAAAATTTATATTCAATTCAAATTTATATTCAATGAACCAAAAAACCTCTAGTGTCTTTATTTTAGATAAAAGAAATTTTTCATTTTTCTTTTCAGTTAAAGGATTTGTCTCATTGTTTATGTCCTTTAGCCTAATGATTTTGTTTAGAATCATAGGATCTTAAACTTTCAAAGATGATGAAGATAAATTAGAGATCAATTGGTCTAACTCTTTTATTTTACAGATGAAGAAAACTCATATTCAGGGAGACTAAAGGTCCTTCTTAAAGTCCACAACTGATTAATGTTAGAGCAGTGGCACTGCTTTTTCTATTACCTATACATAATTTTATAATTTTGTAGACCTACTCATCCTTTGACCCCTGTTTTCTTTCCTTTCAAAAGAGGCTCTTCCCACCTTAGAGAGTCTGTGTTTTATAATTTTGCAGCTTTTGAAGCTCTATTACCCTTTATTTTTGTTTTAACATCAATGAAATAAACATTAGACTATAGAATTTAAAGAAGAAATGTTAAGGAGTTGTTTTCTACCAGATTTTGTAGTTTATCCATCTACTTTAGGGAATATGTTAATGCTGTTCAAGGAATGCTTTGCTGAAATCAGCAAAAACAGTATTATAATGTCTTTCTCAATAAGTTCTTTAGAATTTGCATTTATTTCCTCTCTAGTATTTTATCCCTCCATTCTTTACTTAGGCAGTTTTAAAATAAGAAGCTGATGTTTGTACATACATTACTTAAACATAATTATGGGGATTTGTTCTCCTGTGTGATTTCATTTCTCCACATTTTCTCACTGTTTCCTGTTTCTCATTGTTTTGTTTTCCCCAGAATTAATAATTTTCCATTTTTTCCCCTTAGTCTTCCCCCCTGGTTTACCTGATTATTTTTCTTTTCCTCGACTACTTCCATTGGCTAGAAACTCCAGCACAGTTTTGAATAGAAGTGATGAGAGCATACATCCCTGTTTTGTTCTTGATCTTAGGGTGGAAGCATTCAGTTCTTCTCTATTAAGTATTATATTAGCTGTTAGCTTTTCATAGATGCTATCTATTCCTAATTTGCTGAGATTTTTTTTTTTGGTTGATTTGTTTATTTTTATATCAGGAATATATGCTGGAAATTGTCAAACACTTTCCTTCCATCTATTGAAACTAATCATGTTTTTTCTTTCCTTGTTAATGTAGTAATGAACTTCACCGGTTGATTTTGAAATGCTAAACCAACTATATTTCTGGGACAAATCCCATTTGCTTATGATGGTTTAACCCTTTTATGTAATAATGAGTTTGATTTATTAAAGTTTTATTTATAGTTTTTGCTTCATGAATGTTAGTGTCTGTAGTTTTCCTTTCTTATGTTTCTTTGATTTTTGGTATCACAGTAATGCTGTACGGATAAAATGAGTTGGGAAGTTTTTCCCTCTTTTCAGTGTTTTAGGAAAGTTTCTGTAGGATTGGTATTTATCCTTTAATGTTTTATAGATTTTACCAGGAAAGCCATCTGGGCATGCTGTTTAATTTTTGGGAAGGTTTTAAAGTACAGTTTCAATTTCTTTTAATAGGTATAAAATTATTCAAGTCATTTATTCTTTCTTGAATGAGCTTTGGTGTTTTTTAAGGAATTTCTTCAGATCCTTATAAATTGTCAAATTTATTGGCATAAACCTGCTCACAGTATTCCATTATTGTTCTTTAATATCTGTAGATTCTGTAGTGATGCTACCTTTTTAATTTCTGATATTGGTAATTTACATCTTCTCTCTTTTTCCAGCTTTATTTGGCTAGAAATCTATTAATTTTAATGATCTTCTCAAGTAACTCGTTTTTGTTTCATTGGTTTTCTCAATTGTTGATTTCATCTTTGATCTTTATTATTTCTTTAATTCTGCTGATTTGGGCTTTAATTTTCTCTTTTTCTGGTTTCTTAAGGTGGGAACTGAGGTCTTTGCTTTGAAATGTCTCTCCTTTTCTAATATCGCCATTACATGCTGTCAGTTTCCCCTAAGTACTTCTTTGGTGACATCCCCCAAATTCTGATATTTTGTCTTTCATTTTCATTCAGTTAAAAATACTTACAAGTTTTCCTTTTCTTCTTTGATACATGAATAATTTAGAAGTATGTTATTTATTTTCCAGAGATCTTTATGGTAATGATTTTTAATTTAGTTCTGTTGTGATCCTAAACATACTTTGAATCCTTTGAATACTTTGAAATATATTCATAGTTATTTTATGATCAGTATATGGTTTATTTTGGTAAATGAGTGTGTACTTGAAAAGGATATATATTCATATGTTCTTTAATATTTTGGTGGAGTGTTTTTAAATGTACTCTAAGTCATGTTGGTTGATGTAGTTGTTCAAGTCCAGTATATCCTTTTTGATCTGCTTATTTATTTTCTCAATTATTAAGAGAAGGATATTGAAATATACAACTATACTTGAATTAGTCTCCTTCCTTTTGCAGTTCTATGTATTTTTGGTTTTGTTTTATGTATTTTATTAAGTTCTGTTTTTAAATGCATAAACATTTAAGATTATTATGTTTCTATTCCTTAATTGACCCCTTTAAAATCATTATATGGCTTCCTTTTTTCCTGGTAATAGTCTTTGCTCTGAAATCCACTTTGTCTAATCTTAATAAAGCCACTCCAACTGTGGTTTACATTTTTCTCTTTTACTGTAGATTAATTCGTGTCTTCATATTTAAAGTATTTTCTTTATAGACAGCGTATAATGGGGCCTTGCTTTCTTATTCAACCTAAAAATCTCTACATTTTAATTGGGGTCTTAGATAATTTATATTTAATATAATTTCTTATATGATTTGTTTGGTTATATCATTTTCCTTTTTTTCTACTTGTACTATCTGATTTTTGTTTTTGTTTTCTTTTTGTTTTAGTCTCCTTTGAATTAGTCAAGCACTTTTTATGATCCAGGTTATCGCCTTTCTTGCCTCGTTAGCTTTATGACTGTGTTTTATAGCTTTGTCTGTTCTTCATTTTGTCATTTTATTAATTGCTTCAGGATAGTAGTATAAATCTTTAGTAGTATAAATCTTTAAATTTCATCATCAGTCTTAACTGATATTATATCATTTTGTGTATAATATAGTATAAGAACCTTCCAACAGTGTATTTCCATTTCTACTCTTTTGGACTTTATGTTATAGCATGATATATTTTACTTTTACTTATTTTATAAACTGACATTACACAGTTATTCTTTTTTGTTTAAAAAGTTCATCTTTTAAAGAGTTTTAAATAATAGAGGAAATATTGTATATTTACTGTTGTCTTTATCATTTCTAATATTATTAATTTCTTCTCATCGTACTATATTTCTGTATGGTATCATATTTTACCTGCCTGAAGTAGTTCCTTTAATATTTATTGTAGTGTGAGTCTGCTGATGATGAATAAACTTTTCTGCTGAAAATTTTGCTTTTTTTTAAAAACTTTTTTCTAGGTATAGAATTCTAGATTGAGGGTTATTTTCTTTCAGTATTTTAAAATGTTGTTTCACTGTTTCCAATTAGACATGTAATACCATTCTCATCTTTGTTTTTCTGTATATCAATGTTCTTTTTTCTGATTGTTTTTTTTTCCTAAAGATTTATTTATTTATTATTGAGCATGGGTTGGGGGTGGGGAAGAAGGGCAGAGGGAGTCTCAAGCAGACTCCACATTGAGTGTAGAGCCATCTGTGGGGCTCCATCTCACCATCCTGAGATCATGACCTAAGCTGAAACCAAGAGTTAAATGCTCAACCAAATGCACCACCCAGGCTCCCCTGTCTAATTGCCTTTTTTTTTTTTTTTTTTAAGATTTTATTTATTTATTTGACAGGCAGAAATCACAAGTAGGCAGAGAGGCAGGCGGGGGGGTGGAAGCAGGCTCTCTGCTAAGCAGAGAGCCTGATACGGGGCTCGATCCCAGTTCCCTGCGATCATGACCTGAGTCAAAGGCAGAGGCTTAACACACTGAGCCACTCAGGTGCCCTGTCTAATGGCTTTTAAGATAATTCTTTTTATCACTGGTTACATGAAACTTAATTATAATGTTTCTTTGTTTATTTTTCTTCATCTTTCTTGTGTTTTGTAGCTTTTTTGAGCTTTTTTGATTTGTGAGTTTATAGTTTTTGTAGGGTTTTGGAAAAATTTGGCCATTATTTTTTCAAAAAAAATTTTTTTAATGTACAATGTATTATTTGTTTCAGGGGTACACATCTGTAATTCATCAGTCTTGCACAATACACAGTGCTCACCACACCACATACCAAATATTTTTATTGGGCTTTCTTTTTTCCCTCTTTTCCTTCAGGAACTCCCATTACTCATATATTAATTAGGCTGCTTGAAGTTGTTTTACAGATCACTTAGGTTCTTTTCATTAAACCAAATTTTATTTTTCTCTTTGCTTTTCATTTTAACTATATTGTTGTGCTTTTGAGTTTACTCATCTTTTTTTTTTTTTTTTTGGCAATTTCTTTTTTGCTTTTTTTTTTTTTTTCATCTCAGACATTTTTATTATGTCTAAATTTCAATTTTGGACTTTTTAAAACTATCTTCCATGAGCTACATAAGTCTTTGTACATACAGAACAAATGCTCTGTAATAACTGTTTTGACGTTCTTTTCTGCTAATTTCAGCATCTCTGTCTCAGTTTTTGGTTGGTTTTGATTGATTATTCCCATTATGATATGTGTTTTCCTGACTCTCTCCTGAGTACTTTAACCAATTTTGTATGTGTTTATTCGACGTGAATTAACAGTTCTTCCAGTATTGGTGGTAGAAACACCCACTGTTTTCTCTAAACCTTCAGGTGACTTTTTTCACATGCATGCTCACTCATCATTTCCAGATGAATACTTGAAGGGACTCCCTGCAGATCTATGGGGTTCTCCCTCTGCAGTT